CCACCTCCTCAGGTTCGCAATCTGAGCCCTCACTAGAGAGCGGAGGAACATGAGGGGGCAGTCCAGAAGACTTCTGAGCCAGGCGAAAACTCGTGAAGGTCTTGGCACTGAGGAGGCTCCAGTACATCTGATACACAGAGGTCCCTAGAGTGTTAGAATTCCAGTATTACCGACTGACTTGGTGCCATTGGCGGTACCGGGAGGGATGGAGATCTTGTCCATACTGGTCGCTTTGGTGCCTAATGAGGTGTTGATGACAGTATCAATGTAGGATCACGTACCAGCAACGTCTTTTTAGAGGAGTGCTTACTCATGTCCTTGTCCCTTGGTGCCATTGACTCAGTGCTTGTGCCCATCGGGACCATGGGCTTGTCAATGGTGCCTGCCACTGAGGACTTTCATGAGCCATGGGTACTGGTCTGAGAAGGTCTTGGTGCCGTCGGCACCGAGTGTGCCAGAGAGCATTTGCGGCTATCTCAGGGTTCACTGTAAGGACTTTCCACTCTCTTTTTCAACTATTTGTGAGAGGAGTCAATGGCTTGTTTATTCAACCCACAGCATTTAGATGTTGAGGCCTGAGGGGAAGTCTCACATCTGCTAGGTAACTCGTGGTGTGGGTCCGGAGAGCCAGTTCCATGAAGATAATCATCTGTCTGAGCAATCTGTCCTTATGAGACCGGGGCCTGAGTTGGTGGCAGAGACCACGCTTTTGTTGAATGTGTCCTTTCCCAAAGCAGTGAATGCACTGGGAGTGCTTGTCTGTGACAGGGATCGTTTCTTTGCAAGAGAGGCACTTCTTGAAGCCCGGTGACCTGGGCACATCCCCGTGGGGGAAGAGAAGGAAAAAAGGAGTGGGGGAAAAAGTCTTTTTTTATTTTTTATTTTTAGGGAGAAAAGATAAGAAAAAGGGAAAAATTAGAACTACAACTAAGAACCAGGAGACTAACTATAGAGATGCAAATTGAAAGTAATGGTCCTCATGGACTGTGAATAGCTCTGTTTCTAGCCAGGAACGGTTGAGAAGGAACTGAGGGGGGTTAGCCCATGTGTGCTGAGTAGCCTTGTGGTAGGGCGTGAGGGGAGACAGCGTGTGTGTGGGCCTAATGGACACTGCTACTGAAGTTCTCTGATCATCAGCGCAGGCATGCAAGCACACCTACAGTGAAGCACGCTTAGGGACACACATCTCAAAGAACCATTGTTAGTGCACAAGGTGAGTAACTTCTTCATCCTTTGTCCACACCAACTCAGCCTGGATGCTGGCTGGTTAACCAACATGGAGAAATCTTGATCCATTTTGATTTACAATAGATTGGTTTACATTGCCAGGTGGGGGAAAAAATCACTATTTGAGCAGAGCAGCATCACCTCTCCCTCACAGTCTCTGATATTCCTACAATTTTGGATTATCTCCTCTCATTAAAGAGATTAGGACTCTGTTAGCTCTGTAAGAGTTCACCTAGCAAATATGAAAGCTCAGCATCCGCCAATACAGGATTACGCTAGATCATCACACCTTAAAGTGACTAGGGTCCTCGAGGGCTTAATGCATGTGTTCTCTCCAATATATGTGAATCTCCTTCCTCCTGGGACCTTAATGTGGTTTTAGCTGGGTTGATTTTGGGGCTGAGACTGGATAGAGAGGGGTTGGCTTTTGAATTCTTAGTAGTGATTACATTGGCTCACAGGAGAATTTTAAGCATTCATGGCAGGCCCACTGTTTTTCACAAGGACAAAGTTTCTCTGAGACCTCCAAAACTGTTCGCTTACATGTTTTTCTTTCACTCTAGTGACAGTAAAGTGAAGCTACACTCTCTGAATGTGTTAAGAGCACTCTCTATTTATCTAGAACTAAAGCCTTCAGGATCTCATCTAAATTGTTTATTGCCTTTGCAGAAGGGATTACAGGACAGGCTGTATAATCCAAAAATTATCTAAATGGATATCAGATTTTATAAAATGTTACCAGTTAGCTAGATTAGAGTCTATTGGTCAAGTTACAGCTCACTCCACAAGGGCTCTTGCCGCTTCTTTCAGAAGTGTCCTCATTTCTGAAATTCGTGGAGCAGCCACTTGGAGTTCTATGCATGCATTCCCTAAACACTGTTGCCCTGTAAAGACATATAGAGCAGCTGCCCATTTTGGCAGAGCTGTGTTACAATCACTATTCAAATAGACTCTGAGCATTCAATTCTTAGCATCAGGTTACTGCTCGAAAGTCACCAGGAGTGGAGACTGTGTGTGTGTGTGTGTGTGTGTGTGTGTGTGTGTGTGTGTGTGTGTGTGTGGACAAGCACTCGAAGAAGAAAAAAGATATCTTGCATAACTGTGGTTCTTTTTGAGTTGTGTTGTCCATATGTATTCTGTGACCCGCCCTCCTTCCCTGCTGGTACGGAATCCTTTAACACCTGGATTCTGTTTTGGCAAAGGAAGTAAAAGGCAGTTGGCCCTGCTCTGTCCTTTTATGCCCTTGGGAGTGGGGGCAAGAACACACAGGGTGTAAGCATAGGCCAATGGAAGCTGCTGGCCAAAAGATTCACTGAGAGGATTATGTTGGACCACATCTCGAAGAACCGCAGTTACTGTAAGTAAGGTAAATAACCACAGGGGGAAAAAATTACAAAGGGATTTGAAGAAAATGTAAGCCATTAAAAAAAATTCAGTTGCTTGGCCCTTCTTAAAATAGTCAGAACAAACCGCAAATAATATAAACTACTATAGAAAAATCAAGCAATGCACAAACTACAATAAATATTTTTAAATGATATTCTAACGCAAAAGAGAATGTTTGTAGGATTTTTTTTTACCCCTGTTAAAAAGGAAATCCTGGTGCAACCATACCTATGGTGGTACTACTGAACTATCATAATATTGCCGTGCCATATTAAGGCCAAGGGTATATACTACTGGCTGTGAATTTGGAGTCATTTGGGGAAAGGGTTCCTCGGATAAGCTCTGCCTCAACTCCCCCAATAAGGAGTTCACTTTATTATTCAAATTTCTTTAAAACCCACTTGCATAGTGTTGTTGCCTTGAAAATTGGTATTCCACAACAGAATCTAGGGTAGATCGGGGAGGAGAACGCTCATTGAGATGAAATCATCAGTTAACCCCTCTCAGAGCTATTGTATCGGACCGTATTCATCTTCATCTGGTCTCATTCATCTGAGAACATCCCATTGAGATTAATGAGCATCTTAACACTTTTGCAATACTCCTGTGTTGAAGAGTTTTGTGCGTAGACCCCTCATTCTAACCTAGCCCCCCAAATCGGAGTACAAAGTTTGGGGCTTCATTCCACTCCCTTTTGCTGATTGCAGGTGATATGTATGCTCCTCACTGCCCCCCTCTTCCTTCCTCCAAGTCCCTCCAATCCTACCGGGGTTACAAAGGGGCCAGGAGGAGAGCAGAACTGGTAGTTGAGTGGCAGTGAGGTGTTCCCAGGAAGCCTTTGTACTCCCCCACCACAGGTGCCCTGCAACCATGAGCCCCGCACTTTGTCCACTTATTCAAAAAACAAGGGAAGTTCACTGGCTAAAAACTTCGTAAATTCAGATTTAAGGTTGGCCTGTAGTGCCTTGTACCCTTCCAGAATGTCAAATTGCACCTGTGCTTAAATCTCTTAAATACAGGGTTATGGTACACACCAATCCCACCCTGCAATCTTGATTGTGCCTTCTTTGAGCTCCAACGTCCCCAAACGTAGGGTTACCATATTTGGAGTGTCCAAAAAGAGGACACTCCACGGGGCCCCGCCCCCAGCCCCGCCCCGCCCCCGCCCCAACTCCGCCCCCTCCCCCAAAGTCTCCGCCCCCTCCCCTGCTTCCCGCGAACATTTGATTCGCGGGAAGCCTGAAGCAGGCAGCAGGTAAGCGGGGGGGGAGGGAGGAGGCGCGGCCCAGTCTGGTCCCCTCCGGCGGCCGGCCCCGGCCCCTCCAGCCTGGCTCGGCTCGGGCCCTGGGGTGCCGGCCCCGGGCCAGCCCCCAGCCGAGCACCCCCGGGCCAGCACCGCCGGCCCCCGGCCCGTCCCTAG